AGTCCCTGGGTGTTCTGGACAGTCCACTGGGGATTTATGTGTCTTAAAATACACGTTGCTACAAAGACACAGATCTGTAATGTCCTCTCCTGGGAATGTGAGACCATGTGTTCTTCATAATGGGGTTCTTTCTTGTAAAAGTAAGAACAAGGAATGTGTACACCTCAATCTCAGCAACATTCTAAACCTGGGCTGGGTAGCACTACTGTGGGGGCCATCCCTGGCCTCCACTAAATGTAGGTAGCTTCCCCTCCAACCTTTGTCATAACCACCCAATGTCTCCACATATCCCATGAGGGCAAAATCACCCCTGGATAAGCAACACCTCTCTGGAGTGGAATGTACAAATATGTCAAAGTGTATGCATACCACAAATTTTACATGGCCCTGAGAAGTAACTGCAGTTCTGTGCAGCAACATGGACAAGTCTAACACGTGAGGCTGAGCAATAGCATACGCCCCTGCAATTCCTTCACACAAAGCACACACAGTGAGGCAGACATTACTCAAGGGGGCCGCTACTGTGGGGTTTTGTAGTAAGGCTTTAAGAGAGACCGACTCAACACTGAAAGCAGACATGGTGAGAAGATATTGAGGGTGGGGGCGAGGAATTCAGATATCAAGGATGGAAGGAGGACTTTTGCTAAACTTGCATACATGCACATGTTTACATGGCTATAAAGATACTAACCCTATCTTAAGATTGTTGCTTAATCTGGATCCTACAAGGACAAAGGAGTCCAAGGTCAGGCCTCATTAAGCAGAGGGCTCAGGGAGGCCTGATTAAAGTTGGGCCAAGCAAAGAGTGAGGATACTTTTCTTTATTCGGGTAACAAGATACACACACACCCCCCCTTCAGACAACCTTCTGGAGAACACAAACCAGTCAGGGCCCCTCCTACTTGTCTCCCCACAGGGTAGCCAGGGTCCCCAGGACACAGAACCACCCACTTCTTACGTAAGTGGTCCAGTGAAAGGCCTGATTGTTCTGCACCCCATGAAATTCTCACCTTGCCATCACTGCCTCCAGATGCATGGGGGACTTTGTTTTCCCAAATGCCTTCCCAGGGCCATTCTTTTCCCTTCCACCTCCATTGCTCACCCCCTCTTCTCTCATCCCCAGGACTGGAGTTAAGCCTCTGAGCTGCATGTGCTGGCTGCCCACCCTGCCCTGTGACACAGTTACACAGGCTGGTGCAAGTCAGCTGCATCATAAAGGGAAGTGTGTGCCGTGGAGACTGCAGCCAAGATAGCAGACAAGAGAAAAGCATGGCTGGGAGCAATGGCCTCCAGAAGGCCCTCCCTGGGTGGCCTGAGGCTCAGGTCCACAGAATCTGAGCACTGTGGAAATACCATGTGTCAGAAACCCTCAACACTTTCCCATCCCAGGGAGCTTTCCCATTACAGTCCTGGATGTTAGTCATCCTCACTGTCCAGCCAACTGCACCTTTCCACTTGAGGCACTATAGTGTGACTAAATGCACGGCAGGATCCTTTTAAATCCCTGAAACTTCAGCTAAAATCCAACCCAAAGTTCTGCCTACCTTTTGGACCAAAAGTAGTATTTGATGAAGAAATGTGGGGACAAGAGACTTGTATTATCAGACTGGGGGTGTCAAGGATGAGACTGGACTAAATCTGCAGGATATTCCTGGACACTGTACCTTGCTCCTTCTCCTTGTTTGAAGTTTCATATTCTCTTCCTTTCCATTCCTCTCCCATCTCCTGGCTTATCTAGGGGGTGGTTGGACATTTACCTAGGAAGGGTGGGCTTGGAGAGGAACAGATTCTCTAGGGCAGGCAAACTTGTTCCACGTTTCTCCATTCAGCTAACACTGCTGGGAAAAGGCCATATACCTTGCACTGAAGCATGATACACTCCCAGGACTCAACTCCAGCAAACTTAAGGATTGGTTGGATTGATCTTACCCACTCTTTTAAGAATCTGATGAAAAGGACCCTCTTCATAGAGAGAAAAGGGCACCTGTACACATGGCCCAGCCAGTCTTCAGAAACGCCTACCCACACATCTGAGGGCCATAGGACGGGCTGCACTATAGGTAGGTGAAGCTTATCTGAGGTTCCCCCTGTCAAGGAAGGGCACCCACATGGAGAAGCCCCTGATGCCTGCCTGGATTTCTACTCAAGCAACTCATAACCTTAGTTCAGAGTGGCTTTCACCCAGACTCTCCCTGCATAGGAACCAGGAAATAGGAGACATGGGCAACTCAGAATTCCCAGGAAACCCCCTAACAGGGCTCTGAGGCTGTCAACCAGCTTGTTTTACACTTGGCCAACACTGTACATCCTCAGAAGGGACCTCCCAGGGTCATCCCAGACTCCTCTACAGCCTTCTGTCCTCTACAATGAACCCCTCATAGTCTAAGTCCCTAAGAAGGAAATGAATCTCTTGCCCTAGGCTATGGGATGCTCTGCCTGGTTGCCCTCGTGCTTGCTTCTGGCTGCCTTGCATCCCAGATCTAGCCTCTATTAGCAAAAAAGTTCCAAAGAAACCCCCAGTTTACCTTTTGGCTTCAGTTCAGTCATTATCAAATTATTATACCAAAAATGTATGACTTGTAATAGAGGAAAAAAAGATACACAATTCCAGTCCCATAAAGAAACCACACATTTATTTCTCCACCATCCACTTCCAATCCACATCCATACATGCATATATGTTTACATGACTATAAAGACAGTAAACCTATCTTAAGCCTTTTTATCATACTATATGCATTGTGGCAAAAAAAACCTTTCTAATTATGGTTCAGAGAAGATGAACGGAACAAATTAGAATGCCAAATGAATTAACAATGGCACTGAGGGGGTGATAATGTAAACATAACTACTCAGTATTTTTTGTTTATACAACTAAAGAAACAAATTGCGTTTCCTAGAAGCAGCTCTTCCCATCTTAGCATGAGCTTTTCTTAGTCTTAGGAGGGACAATTTCACTATTTATTCACAAACCATTTCTTCATTGACTTTCCCTTTCTGAAACAGGTCCTCAGTGTTCAGACAGGATTATAATACAGAAATACATTCAAACAGCAAAATCTATAATTTAGTGGGTGAAGTGCTATATGCAATCTCTCACCAGTACATGCTTGTTGATAAAGACTGTAAGAGCTCCTGCCAAAAAGTTCTTTTCCTGATTATATTTAAAAAGTTTGATTCTACTAAAAGTTTATGTACAGGCTCGGCGCCTGTGGCTCAAGCGGCTAAGGTGCCAGCCACATACACCTGAGCTGGTGGGTTGGAATCCAGCCCACGCCTGCCAAACAATGTTGGCTACAACCAAAAAAAAAAAAAAAAAAAAAAATAGCCGGGCCTTGCAGCAGGCACCTATAATCCCAGCTACTTGGGAGGCTGAAGCAGGAGATTCACTTGAGCCCAGGAGCTGGAGGTTGCTGTGAGATGGGATGCCATGGCACTCTACCCAGGGCAACAGCTTGAGGCTCTGTCTCAAAAACAAACAAACAAAAAGTTTATGTACAATAAGGTGGAAACTCCTATTAAAGGATTCCTCATACTGATTACCTACTAAATACATTCACAAGTTCTGGTTTAAGCATTCTGATGCAGAAATGGATGGACATCTCAATGGGAAATTCCTTCCTCACATGCTCATGTTTTATTCCAGTGTATGTGCTGTCATGTTGGATATGGACTGAATTATCCCTGAAGCTCTTTTTTTTTTTTTTTTTAGACAGAATCTCACTTTGTCACCCTTGGTAGGGTTAACTGCCATGGTGTCATACTCACTCTTGGGCTTAAGCAATTCTCTTGCCTCAGCCTTCCAAGTAGCTGGGACTACAGGTGTTCGCCACAATGCCTGGATATTTTTAGAGATGAAGATCTCGCTCAGGCGCCTCCCAGAGTGCTAGGATTACAGGCATGGACCACCATACCCGACCAAGACCTCTTCTTTCATGTCAGCCTAAACCCTGTTAGTCAGCCCAACTGTGGCTCTGAGAAAAGAACTGAGCCCCAACAAAGGAGGATGCTTTTTTTTGAGAGTCTCATTGTTGCCCTATCTTGGGTAGAGGCCGTGGAGGCATAGCTCACAACCTCAAATTCCTAGCCTCAAGCAATCCTCCTGCCTCAGCCTCCTGAGTAGCTGGGACTATGCTGCTTCCATTTTGGCCCCTTAATATTGGAGCCTCAACCTTTGCTTTTATTCTTTCTCTACCTATAAGTCAAGAAGGGGCCCAAGGACCCTGGGAGGTCAAGACAGGTGGATCCCTTGGGCTCAGAAGCCTGAGCAAGAACAAGACCCTTGTCTCTACTAAAAATAATACAGCACTCTGGGAGACCCAGGTGGGCAGATCACCTCAGGAGTTCTACAACAGTCAGAGCTAAAGCAAGACCCCATCTCTAAAAATGACCAAGTGTTGTGGCGGGAGTCTGTAGCCCCAGCTACTTGGGAGGCTTGAGGCAAGAGAATCGCTTGAGCTGAAGAGTCTGAGCTTGCTGTGAGCTGTGATGTCACAGTTCTCTACCAAGGGGTGACAAAGTGAGACTGTTTCAAAATAAATACATAAATAAATGTGTTTATATAATATGTAATAAATAATAAATGTAAAAGTGTTAATCCCAACATTCTAGGAGGCTGAGGCCAGTGGACTGCTTGAGCTGAAGAATTCAAGACCAAGCTGAGTGAAACCCCATCTCACACATACACACAAAAAAATAAGTCAAAAGGATTTGTCTGTATCTTAACTTGGCTCTAGGCAGACCTGGCCTTTGTTTTGTATCCAAGACTACAGGCATGAGCCACTGTGCCCAGCCTCTTC